TACTTCTTTCATAGATGGAAACAATGATTCAAATGATATTAGTTCCGAGCTATCTTTAGAAATAATTAATTGAGAATCATCCATTTGTTGATGACTTTCATCTTCATCTGAACTTGAGTCCTCGCTTGAGCTGCAATATATTATCCACATAATAATACTAATAGTAATTTATTACAATTAATTTTGAAATATGATTAAATTTTATACCTTGCACTGGACGTTGTACTGCTTGTACTACTCTGACCAGTCATAGATGGATTTTTCATATTTAAGTTTTTATTACCTGCTTCTTCTCTTCGTCTACCTGGTCGTACACGAACAGCAAATGGACTGTAGCAGGTGGTAAAGTGTGGCATAAAATCTCTAATAGAGTGACTTATTTTATAAGCATATACCTCAGATAGCAAAGACAATTCATATGGCCTAAAATATTTATATTGAACTTTTTAATTAAGTATAAATTGATAATATATATGAGAATATACATAAAAAGTCTCAAAATAAGTAATACTATACCTATGATAATCATAATAAACATCAATCATTTCTTCCATTGAATTTTGCACATGTATCATTTCTAAACAGGATTTAGTTATTTCATCAAATGCATAAGGAAGACACTTCAATACATTTTTATTCCACCATTGTGTCAGAAGCCTTCTTTTACGCGAGTAACGACATGCAGGAGGATGATGAAGATAATAATCTGTCAGAAGTTCCCATATTGGAGGTTTGCCCTCTTCAGGTACAAATAATCCTAAAACACATACATTAATTAAACAATGATGATTATGGAATGTTTTGCAAAGATAAGAGGATATTACAAGTATGTATTTATTTACCCAGAAATAAATTAATTGTATGCTGCTTTTCTTGGTCACTAAATGTATTACTGTAATATCTACTTAAAGTTTGCATAATATCATTACCCTGACTTGTCCACGGAGCAGTTTTTCTAAATAATAATAATAATAGTTTTGTGTGATTAAATCTACATATGTATATCTTGCATTGCTACATGCTACATTAAATGTAATTATATTCTTTACCGATATGTTTTAATTCTGTGTACTAATTGTGAGCCACCATATTGCAAGGCTAAAGTATCTCCATGATCCTCATATAATTCTTCTAACATCCTCACACAATCAGAATCAAATTCAAGTTTAGGAGATTCTAGTACACCCAAAGCACATAATTGAAATCCTAATGCACATTTTCCTATTGCAAATTGAGCTGTGTTAGTTCGATCTAAACAGTCTACACAATTTGTTCTGATAATTCCAGTTTGTACAGTTCCTCTTCTAGCAAAACATTCTGCTACTTTGTTCTCAATTTGATTTAACTCATTCGTTTTATTAACATCTGTATTTGAATTGGAATCATGTGTAGAATTTGTTTGCCTGTTATAATCCGTTTTAGTTAAAGAATTGATAGAGCTTTTTATATCATTTAAATTAGACGATAAAGTCGAATTTGAATTTGTTTTGTGAAGTTTCCTGGTGTTATTGTTTTGTGGTGAGAAAAGATATCTCTGATTATAGTAAGGATTATGTGATTGGTAAATACCAGTTTTTAATACAGCATTGTAAGCAATATTTGCTAAACGTCCCATAACATTCACTTCTTTTCTGTAAAAAAAAAAAAGGATTATAATATCGTCATTGTTTAAATTTTCATGTTATAATTTCAATAAACTTACCTTTTATTCATACGCGCCATATCAAAACTTATATATTGAATATGATGTTCTGGAGGTAGAAACTGATTTAAATATTTTACAGCCATACTTAACTCTTCGCTCAATGTACTTTCGTGTTTCTTTTTTTCTCGTTTTTTTACTAGATTTAATAATATTATTGGTGATCCATATCTTTTTAACAGTTGATTAAAATGGGCTCCTAAAATAATTTTCAATGTATAAAAAAATAATGTCACATATGCATGAAAATAAAGTTAATTTGTTGATTTTCATATATTAATACCTGCTGTTTCTACATAAGGATCAGACAAATCACAAATTATAGTCGGTTTTGGCACCATTTTACTAACATCTTGACTCCAATGAGCAGGTACTGATCCACGCATTTGTACAAAAGAACTGAAACGTCCTTTACTCAAAGAACTCACGCCAGAATCATGGACGATTTGTTCTGTTTCTACTTCATTCGCGACATCTCCCTATATATAATCATTTATTAGTTTATTAACACACAAATATTAATAAGAAATGCATAATACACTTCTATACTCACATCAAAATTTGAACCACGTTTCAAAAAACGTGTCCCTGCATATTTATTACTCCTTCTAGCGATAACAGTAACATACATAGACCTCCCAAAAATGCTCACATTTGATTGACCAATAAAGCCGTGTATTACATACAATATCCAATCAGGATGCAAATCTTTTTCTACAGGCTTTAACAGATGGGAATTCCATACAAAACGACGATGTGGATTGCTACGTATACCATAATCTATATATTTTTCGCCTTCACTGTAATCATAAATTCTGCATCATTATTGATTAAATTATCCTTAATATACATTAGATAAAATATTCAATTATTTTCTTTAATTATATATAAAATAAAACATAAGCTTTTGTATCAAAATACCATAACATACCATTTAGTCTGCCAATCCTTTCTAAATGCCCACATGTTAAAAAAATCCTCAGAATTTTCAGACTCTTCAGATTCCTTTTGCCTAATAGGCATATCAGTAGGAATATCAGATTTAATATGCCTTGGCGGTGCCATATTATGTTGAAGAGTATGCGATATATCATATGAGTAACTGAAGTAAAAGTTACTACTGAGATCAATACTTTGAAACATTTTTACATATCTCTGTTCATCAGGATGGAAAATTCGTACAATGTCATTTGGTATATATATCATTGATGTGTCTTCTATCTTATATATCGTGTGATGACCAATAACTGCAACTCGACGACGTTTCGTCACCAAGATTATGTAATATCCCTCCAAGAAACGAACAAAACCTAGACATTAAATATTTTTCTAAAATGTGTTTTTCTATTTTATCATTATAATTTACTAGTTTGATTTTGTGGATACACTATATATATATATATATATATATATATGTATATAAAATTATAATCATAAGCACACATTACAAATATATAGCATCCACACTGTCTACAATGTGTGTGTAATACTACCCATGCATTTAGCTAAATTACATCGCCTATGAAAAAGATCATAAATACATAAATAAATATCACACCATGCATGAGAAAGATTATGTACATACCACGATATATTCAGATGTCAGATTGCGAATATTATTTATCAATTCTGTTAACTATATAATGCTTACTCTAATCTAATTGATTGCATTATCATATTAAATATAAATCATATTAAATAATAATTCTGTATTGTATCATCTAGCATAATATTTTATCATATTCCTTCAAAAGTAATATTCAAGATATTTCGCAAATATAATTTCACCTACTATTTTCATGCTTACAATTTGTACATTGATGCATTAAAAAGCAACTTGCATACCCCTTTAATCCCATTATTAATTATCTCTATAACAAAGTTATTTTGTTTAACTATCTTGGGCTTTGTCAATACAAAGCTCATTGTGCCTTACCAAGAAGAGCAAAAGCTGGCACTAGCCTGGGAAAAGTATCTCTCTGCCACATGTTCTTCCAGGTGAATTTAGTTTGTGTCGGTTTATGTAGTGGCTTTTGTAATTCTTGTGGCTCAGGCTCCTCTGATATACTCGAACTAGGTGCAGGATCTTTACTATTCTTGCCTTTATTAGCAAGCAAATGTAAGTAAACTAAATCTTGTATGAGGTGCAATTAATAATAATTTCCAATAAGATGCTTTTAGTGTCTGATATAGTAATAATAAATATTAGTAACAATATATATATGATATATAGCACGGTAAGGCAGTTAAATATTACACCATTAATAAAGAAGCATGAAGCATACTGAGGAGCCTAAGCTTCAATATTTATATTAATAAAATCATGAAGAGATAGAAAAAAAGAAAGAGAAAATGTGCATATGTCAAGTACAAGATATTTGCTTGAATTGAAATGTGTGTCATTATATAGAACTATATGAATTAATTACATTTACACATATATACTATAGAAGCTTAGATACGTGCAATTATCAATTGTATGTTTTGCAATACACACTAAGAAAGAATATGTTTAATGATCCTACCAACAATTCCAAAGGCAGATACAACACGTGCAACACCACCAACATTGTTGCGCTGTCCTGCTCGTGTTCGATTACCCATATCTATCATGTTTACCAGATCTTTTATTTCATCCTGAGTATATTCTCTCTTATCATCCACTACAATCAATTCTCTTGGTTCCATTCTGTCAATTTTCAAGACTCGAAAACGCGTTAATATATTGTTCGATCCCATTAAATAAAATCGCTACAAAATATAAAAATTCACATGTAATGATTTTATATAATTAAATTGAAAAAAGTCCAAATATATATAGTTTGAAACTTACAGATTTTGTCTCATAAAGAGCAATTTTTTGTATGGAGGAAATAATTGGGTGAAATACCACAATCGGTTTGCCTTGTTCTTCCATGATAATATAATTTTTTTTTTATGATTTTATAGTGAGTTTTTAAAAAATTACTTTAATTTCAATAAGTTGTTATACACAGTTTATTTTTGCTTCAAGTTAGTTATCATTACTCAGGGAAACTTAACCTCTTAATCGATCAGCCAACTCATTTCGCGAGAGGGCGTTGATGAACAATGCGTTCTTTTCCTAAAGACAATTACATAATAAAAAAATGTAATCTTTAATATTTATTTTGCCAATATATAAATTAATGTTTGTATACATAAAAACGTAAACTTTTCTTATAAAAAATTTTGTACAGAATCTAAATTCAAAAGTTACATAAAGTTCTTGAAATTGGACATAAAGATAATTAAGCATATTAATTAATAAATACATTAATCCTTTTTATAATTTTTAATAATATATTTATGTATAATTCTCATTGCGACATTAGTAATGTTAATACAGAGAATTATAATACCAGAGTATACATCTATACACTTTATTATATCTACATAATATTCACTTATTTATATTCAGATAATATTCAAGCAATCTTTAGCAACAAACACGAGTGATTGTAGCGTGCAAATGCCGACGTATGCGACTGTGATTCCGAATAATATCTTGTCTTTTTTGCCACCTGCTAAGTATACAGGCTTATCCAGCACAGACTACAAACAAAATTGAATATTAAGAAAATTAATACTTAAAAATTAGTTGTAGCTGAAAATAATCATATGTATACTTGCCCCGAAATGTTTGTATTTTGCCCATAGTTTTGGGTCAAGAGTGGGTGGTTTGTCAGTGCAATATCCTGACTTTGGTGTAACTGTTAATGGTTTGGTTTTGATGGTGTCATAGATTATTACTGGTTCTGACCTCTGTAAAGGAATAGGAGACTGAAACAACATAGGAGACATAAACAATTTTTCATATATGTTAAAAATATAAAATATAAAAATATTAAGAGAGAATCTCCCAAAATACAAGATTACATTTGGATGTAATATGTCATACTATTCTTTGATTTAATATATACACTTTATCAGACTACTGTTTAGTTTTGTTATTAATCTTTGCAGTTCATGTTGTAATTTTTTATTATTAAGCTTATGCAAACTTAATGTAAAAATATTATATAAGAGAATCAATCTTTCAATCTCCAGTGATAAATAATATAGATAAAAAGATATAAATATATAGAATAAATTGTAGTATGATACATTGATTATTCTACAATTTCAAAGTAATATTAATTGAAAGACTGATTTGTCTTAAGATTTGTCTTTATCTATTGTACTAATCAACATTATAACGCATTGTAGTATATATAAATCTACAAATAACAGATGTTACATGAAATGAAAGACCATACTAAACATGGCCGAATATAATTACTCTAGATATTCGATAATCAGACACTCGATAATGAATTGGCGATCAATTCTGAACACGATGACAGAAAAAAACAATGCATATGTGATTCTATGGAAACAATAGAATGTCAAAGAAATTGTCACAAAGTGAAATACGAAGTGCAGTAATCCCTCGAACGAGAATACTCTTGCATAAAGACATGTCAAAATTGTCATAAATTCACGTCGACTAATGTTTGTTATGTGACAGATCACAGGTAATTTTCACTTACGAGAGGATACAACGGTTGAAAATTGGTAGACGGTTTTAATCTACCAGTAAACGAGTTAAATTGATAAAACGGCATTTTTACAGTTGCGCAACCGACCTAACCAAACGATGACTTTCCTGTGCCTTTGGTTTTTGGTTCAGCCATAGACTTTACTGTTACAAGTAGTGCAACTTATATAAGTTATACGATAACGTGATTTTTGGAAGGCGGGAAAATAAATGGACCAGGCAACGTATCAAAATGGACAATTTGAAAAAAAAATACGAAAGAAGATAACAAATAAAGCTAATAATAGCTTGTGCAATTTCTCATATAAAATGCATTTGAAAAGAATTCTTTTAATATTTCATTCTTTTAATATTTTGCCAACGATAAGATAATAAGACAAATTTATTATAATAGTATAAATGAGAATTCTTCTGCCTTTTACATTTTGTGTTGAATGAAGAAAAATATGCATACAAAATGTATATAAAAGTAGGAGAAACCGAGTCAAAGTAATTTTAGTATTTTTATGATAGATGGAGCTGTGCTAGTTTATTTAAATATTTTCTTTGCAATATGTTAAACAATATATTTATATATGCAGCTTTATATTGTATCATTACAATATATAAATAATATACATAATCCCCTTAACATTATAAATATTAAATATATGTTTTTGTTAACAATTGTATATATATCATATGTGCATATGATTAGTACTTGATATATATTTTTACTAGAATACAATTTATCTTTCATATTGTTAAACAATCGTTTATTGTTACATGAAAGTATGGTCAAATTTTACTGATTATCTTATGTTGTACTTCACAGTTGCAAAACGTGTTTTTCGATAGTAGCGCACTCTGGCTAGTGATTATTATGAGGTTAGACACAGGTACAAGCTATTAAAAATATTGTGTGAAAAGGTATTAATTACATCTCATATAATAATAATTCCAATAATCTAAATTGTTAAGGATAAACAACACAGAGAGAGATTGTATCAGAATCAGATGTTAATGATTTTATTCCATTGTTACATATATACATAGGCATAACTATCATTCTATTTTATGATTTTTCTTTCATCGAACATTATTTTATATCATTGCACTAAAATATAGAATGTATAATAAAACATTTACTTTGTTTCAGGTGTATTTGATATTACAGTGACGAAAAATTGTTGTAGCATCCAAGTATGCTCTCTTAATCATTCTTATCTCTAATAATCAAGGGAAGAGAATAATGTTACAGATATAATCATATATATTTTTGGTTGCTTCCTCATATTATCAGTAATTAGGTATGCATTATTTTTAAAGCTAATTTCTTATTGAATACATGTGTTTGGAATATTTAGATATAAATAATATATAATACATGTATGTGCATATATATATATATATATATATATATTATTATATGATACTTTTCAATTGTTTAAACATACATAGCATGTCATGATAAATACTATAAAAATGTAGAATAGTATATTTGTGGAATAATTGCATAATATTCACATAAATATATACTTCTTAGTATTTTAATTTATTGATTTATATATATATATATATATATATATATATATATATAGAGAGAGAGAGAGAGAGAGAGAGAATATATGTATTCAACTATATAGTAGCTAATATTATGAATATACATGTATCTATGTAATATAATGTTCATATAATATCTTTTTATACATTTGTAGGATCTCTGCATTAGAAGATCTTTCTGAATTTGCACATCAACAATGACATACAATTTATAATTGTAGTCATCAAATATGGAATCCTCATCAGTAACTGTACCTGTTTGCTCTATGAAAAAACGGTATTTTAACTCATTCTTTATCTTGCCAAATTACAACAAAAATTTTCATAAAACATATCATAGACATTAAAATGTATATAATATAGTTTAATTGATGCTAAATTCTTCATTATCAATATTGCAAATTGTTTCAATATTTTCCATCATGGCAGTTTCGTCATGTACTGTTTTATCGATTGAACAATACTAATGTAGCCACATGTCATGGCTGAAAGATGCACACAGTTTTATGAATGACAACAATGTTAATTCATTAAATTCTATATAATATAACAATGCCGCAACAAATATCTACGGTGAAGTATAAAGTATATGCAAAAGATAAATTAACTTTAAACTCCATATATGGACAATTTTTTGTTCATTATGCATTTATTGTGTTGATTAATACATATTTGATTAGTAGATAATGGATATGTTGCATGCACATAAAAGAAGCAGTTTTGTAACATATAAATTGTGATATTGTGAGAATATTAATTAAACTTGCAACATTTTACATTCATAAACAGGCTTGTAGAAGCTGTCTTAATTATGTTAATAAAAAATAATGATGATTAAGGTCTTCATAATTTCATTGACAATTTGTTTTCAGGATGTCACTATTGATTCAAATAGACCAAAACTGCGTAAGAATCGTAAAGTTGAAAATAAATGGGGTTCATTGTATCAAATAATTGTAGACGATGCTGTGTTTGGATATTATTCACCTTATATGCCAACAGAACCACCAGCATCTTTAAGTGAAGAAATTGTGGAATCTGATCCATTATATGTGTGTAAACAATGCAAAGATAGGTGAGTTTGTATAATAGCTTGGTTGAATATTTTTTATATATCCATCCGGAAGCCTTTTACATTGATAATTTTGATATATTTTATTTTATAAGTACAATGATTCTTGTTTCAGTTTTCGCTTTCAAAGTAGCTTTGAGAATCATAACAAGCGACGTAGTTGGATCTTAGGACTTTGGTGTCACAATTGTTTTATAACAATATGTACTCATGCAACTGCAACAGGTTATGCATGTCCTCTATGCATGAAAAAAGATAGTGATAAACGTTCATATTTGAGAATAAGAGGTTTAATGAAGAATCAAAAACTGGGCGTTACAAGGGTATTCTACAACCAATGCCAATTCTTTGAACATGTGAAAAAGCATGGTATAAGCACAGTGGATATGGGTGATTTAATGTTAATGCCTTTACCTGGTAACATGAATGAAAGTGATTGGTCACCTGAAGTTGAAATATTATGCGAAGCACTTATGGAACGCACATTTTTATCACGTGTGCATATTATGGATTGGTTAAAGATATATAACTTGGAAGATAACTGGTGGAAGTTGAGCAATGGTAAAAGTAATAATAATGTGATAAATAAAGTTGTTGAGGGTTATCAAGGTCGACAATTGTTTAAACCATTTGAAGAGTCAACAGAATTTATAGACTTAATTTTTTCTGGCAATGTTGATATTACTGATAGCAGTATTAAGGACAAAGATGCAAATAATTATTTCGTAAATAAAAGGGAAGACAAAAATGTATCAGAAAATGAAGATAATCCTTGTATGTCAACTGATATTGCTTTTGTGGATTGTGGTCCTGCTGCACAAGATTTCGAATCAGAATTAGCAAGTTACATACCATACAGAAAGCGGCTAACAGTTGTTACAAAATCAACACATGGTATCAAAAGTTCAACTAATGTGGTTAAAATAAATAATAAAAAACAAATTTCAACTTGTAAAGATTTTTCTTCACTTAAAACAAATATGACTAGCGGAAGTAATACCACTGTGAAAATGGAGAAAAGTTCTAACAAAAATGTCATTAGACAATCACCCAAAAAGTATGGGAAAAAATGTGGAACAGCGGAGTCACTTGTAAAAAAAGAGAACATTAGTAAGCCTATAATAGAAACTGATATTAATAAAATTTTGGATAATCCAATTAAACTTCCAATCTCTGATAAGATTCTAATTTCTGGTAAGAAGGTTTTACCTAAAATATTACCTAAGACTAATTCAAATCATTTGGAGCAAGAGCAAACCTCAAGCAGTAGTTCCAAGTTATCCACAACTAAATCATATAGTTCGCAGCAAGATCAAATATCAAACAGTAATTCCAAGATGCTAAATGTCCAAAGTTCACAAAATTCACAAAATGCTGATAAGAAGATTATATCTAAAACTAATTCAGATAATTTGGAACAAGATCTTCAAACATCAATAAACAATAATTCGAAACAATTAAATGTTCAAACTGCAGCAAACACAGATATTACATCAATAATTGATCAAATTCCGTCTCATTTAATTTCCAATAAATTGGTTGTTATTGGACCAAATTTAAATAAGGTAATTACTTGTGACAAGAATGAAGTATCCACTGAAAAAAGATCAAGTATATTAGTATTAAATAACAGTAATGATACAGACAACATGTCATCACAAAAGAAAATGTGTAATTCTGTTAGTATGAAGAAACAAGAAAAGATTTTGATAAAAAATGGAAAAAAATATTTTATTAAACATCCAAAAAATGTTACAAAGGATATAGAAAATCCTTCTAATTTGCCAATTGAGAATAGCACGACGAAAACTGGAAAACGGTTAGCACCTGAGCATAATACATCCATATCAACATCTAATTCTAGCAAAGCAGAGAATAATGATGTGGAACAAATGGCTTCATTTTCCAATGATATTACTATTTTAACACCTTCACCATCCCCTTCAGAATCGTCTAGCAGTTCTGGTTGGATAAACGAGTCGAATAGGAAAAGTTCAATTACATCAAAATTACGCAATGCACCTCCACAGGCAATCACAGCACCATCTGCTTCTGGTACAATTCAGAGGAAATATATGTTTGAAACAATATCATTAACTGAGAAAAATGGAGATGTTTATATGGATGTAAAAATAGTAGATCGTATTTCAAAGGAAGGCTTTCGAGATACGTTTGAAGTAATACCAAAATATAGAGACCAAATGATTAAAGACTTTCAGCAGCTATGTAGTTTTGAATTGAAAGAACGGATCAATCATCTACAACTTGCTGGTGAAGAAATGAGAACAGTTTTGAATTTTTTATCAAGCAATGTTCTATGGGAGAAATCAAGATCTATCAATACTCTCCAATGTATATTGGAAAAATGCCTTCAGAAGTGTAATCAAGATACAATGGATAAGAGGAATGATGATGATGATGTGACATTAACTGAATGGGAATCGAAAATATCGAAAATGGATTTACATAAATGTCCATCATGTAAAAGGCTTATAAAACCTAAATCGTATATTCCTGGATTTTCGAAATTGTCTAAAAACGAAAATCTATATTGTTCTTGTTACAAACTTATTTGTCACGAGTGTCAATGTTACCAAGAACATCAATCACGGTTCACTGCGCATCAAAATTATCACAAGAAGTGTAAGCCTTATATCTGCCCAAATTGCGATTCCAAATTCACTTCTGTCAGATCTTTAGAAGTTCACACATGGACTGTTTGTTTCCATACTTTGAAGAAGTTTACTATTGCCTGCAAAATTTGTGAAATAGATGGTTTTAGAGACATGGAATCGATTACCAGACATATTGTCACCATGCACAGCACTACAAAGATTGCTTGCGAAGAATGTCGCAAGGTACTTTCTTCATACAATGAGTATGTAAAACATTCCACAGAGACGCATCCATCTATACATAATCAAAATCCGATACGTTTGGTGAAATGCAAACTAGGTAATGTAATCATACGTTTTGAAAATTTCATGTTGTACGCAGATATGCATCCTGCTATTCGAAAAAAGATATGGTTTAAATGTCCTTTTTGCTCGTTGATAACTGTAGAAAATAAACATACGACTACAGTTTTAAATGATCATTTACGAAATAAGCATTTTCATCGCTTGTCGGAGATCATTAGCAAGGAAGCGTTGCACGATATATTTGGAACAGAATTTTTGACAGCTGATGTAAATGTAGTTTCTGAAACTCCCGTAGATACGTTTACAAACGAGGAAACAAACAATACCGTAATACCTAAAATTGTGAATGCTCGAACTATCTCTTCAGAAATATTCGAACATGGCGCAGAAAATGAAATATCTCTTTGGAAATATGGCAATTCGAACTTGGCATGGTCTAATATAGAAATAAAGCGATCTAAAATGGAAAATGTTGATGATAAACAAAATGTAGGATCATTGCCAAAAATTCTCAACGTTAAATCAATGAATAATTTAAAGTCGTCGAAACCTAAGGAAGCAATCGCAAAAACTTCAACCGAATCTAAAGAAAAATCTAATTCTCAATTTCCTCAAGCTAAAACAGACGAGAAGAACGATCCATTAGCAGGTAAAAATACAAAACGAATGAAATTAAATGATAGCAAATCTGACAATAAAGAAGAAATAGAAAAGATAGAAGAGCCTGATAAAATTAACAACGAATCACTTGTATCAACAGATATGAATGATGTCCGTGTAAACTCATTGATTGAATCGTGCAAAAAACCCTTGGATTTGGAATTCACGTCTAAATCAAGTATAGATGGTCGTATAAAAGTAGTTGATATTAAGAAAATTTGTAAACCGAATATAGAGCCATTTGTTACAGTTGAACCGAAAGATACATCGATGAAAGAGGATGAAAACACAAGTTACACGACATTCGTCTCACAACCTCCTCCGCTTATCAAGATTTCGCAACATTTATTTGAGTCTATGAAAGTTTACAAACCAGATAATTCAAAGAATGTTGCAAGGATGAACAAATCTTTTGTTCCAAGAATAAAAAACAACAAGAAGACGAAAGAGCGTTTCGCTATACATGGAACAGATACGCAAGAGACAAATGTCGATTATATGTGCCACTTATGCGGCGAACGGATTAATACTTCTACATCCGTGATGCAAACACACTTCCAGGAAAGGCACTTGCATGAATGCAAATTGGCGATAATCACTCCACGGTTGACACGAATGTCGCCTGATTTTATTAATGATGGTTACAAGCAGTTTATCAGTAGCAAAAAACGAAAAGCGGATAGCGCTTTTCTCGCGTCCAAGAGGAAGCGTCGATGGACTCCGAAGAAACATGCAGAAACGAAAGATGCGAACGCGCCCGTAGGACTATGTGTGGAACAAGAGACGGCAGAGGATGGCGAAGGAAATTTTAAATGTAAGAAGTGCGATCAACGTTGCACTGATATGTCCGACTTGAGAGAACACATTGCTGCCAATCATCGACTAAAGGGTCGTTACTTGATATGCCTGGAATGCGGCGAGAATTTTGTGGTCGCGCCCAGCTTGCAAATGCATCTCAAAGCTTTCCACGGAATAGAGGATCCTATCAATTATATGAATCAAAATCCCTCTTACGCTCCTGGCATCGATGGCGACTCTGAAGCGGAAGGAAAAACAACGGTGGCTAATCAATGTTACGTTTGTATGGCAGTTTTCGAAGATAAGGCTGCAGTAGATAAACACTTGAGGGTGCATGGTATGGCTTTCTTAAATCGTAAGCGAATAGAAGCAAGAAATGCCTTGAGAAGTCCTGAGAAGAAGACTAATGTAGAAGAAGATAAACAAAATGTTGCTAAAGACACTCGAAAGGAGACGGTGAAGCAGGATAAGCCAGCAGAAATAATTCTAGAAAAACTTAACGTAAGTAATATGTATTTATATAATTTAAATTCTTTAATTACAAATTAAATTTAAATTAAACATGTTGAAAGTAGCGTTAACAAATGTTAAAAATGTTGATTTTTTTCAGGTTACAATATAGAGTTGCAGGTGCTGAAATGTATAAATAAAAATAATAATGTACATACTGTAATGAATTCATTAATCTTGTTTATAAGATTATTTTTGTATATTTAAATGCTCAACTCTTTATTGTTATTGCAAAATTAATCAAATTAGACATTTTTTTTCTATATACATACATATACCTTGTAATATAACTTCTTGTATAACATCCAGGTAAATAATTAAACCGTGATTAATTTTGGTATCCAGTTTTGTTATCGTAGAAATACATTTTGTTATGTATACTAATTTTGCATATGCTATTTTATCCAAATTTCTTATTTGTCTACGCATAAGTATTTATCTATATATTTGCTTAATAGAATTATAATTTATATTATTGTTTACTATAAACTTTTATTCTTTTTAAACAAATAGGACCTTAATTTCTTATTATGTTATGAAAATACATATAAGCATTATTTTAATAAGAATTTCAGAGATGTACGAATCTTTTGCAGATAAGATAATGTATAATGTATATAATTATTGTTCTCTATAGAAAATTAATGTCTTTTTGTACTGTAATAGCTCTTATTGTTAGTTGTATAATCTCATTTACGCGATATATGAGAATAAATAATTCTTATATTGAATGAATTCATGAATTTGTCATATCATCTTTTGTTAAAGAATTTCAGATTTCAGAATGGATAAAGGATTTCAGGATCAACCTTGTTCAATACGATAAGATGAATAGAATATATAGTTCTTTATTACATCGTTTTTGCACAGATAATGCTGATTATTGCTTACTTAATCGCTAAAGTTTTAATGATTGACACATCGAGATATCCGAGTGTTATGAAACAAGTCGAATAGATTTCATAAGGAAATCCCCTTTCACAGGAATATGTCCCTGCCATTTATATTCTATCTACATATATTAATATTTGGTGGCATGAAAATATCCGTTTTTTAACGTGTTCACATTTTAAAAACAGAACGTGTAGCATAAACTGTCTTATTTTCACAAACAGATATATTTTCATCGCATATAGGTACTAGAGCAAAGTTTGGGGTACTGAACACTTTGATCATAATCCCGTATGGGACTTTATATAGTTCCCGTAAGGGTATTTATGATTTGTCTTCTGAAACGCGCGCGCTTACAGAGTTTTAAATTGCAGAAATATTCTATTTTTAATTTATATATATATATATATGTGTGTGTGTGTGTGTGTGTGTGTGTGTGTGTGCGTGTGTGTGTGCGTGTGCGTGTGTGTGTGTGTGTGTGCGTGTGTATGTAATATAATTTATTGAGTATTTTGAAAAACATTTGACTTTCTTATTTTTTTATCAATTGTCAAGTAACATAAAATCTCTTATATGTAGTAATAATTTTAGATTAACTTATATAATTAAAGATTTTATTCCAACAAAAAGAAAATACTTAAAAGAATATCGTAAATGTGTTGGTCCCCTTTTTATGATTCACCAAGACAAACATTGTATACTCTCACGGGTCCTATTTACTTTTTTTGGCACAGTTACTAGCGAACACACATGTTTGACATTATACGATTGCGATTGGCTGCGTTCAGCAGAAAAAGTAGCTTTGCAACTGTTGTAAAATTCATGAATCTGATTGTATGCTCTTCATCTTATTGTTATAATTGAATCTAAGAGCGTTCATCAATTTAATTCACGAACTTTACAACAATTGTAAAACTGCTTTTTCTGCTGAATGCAGCCATTTGATTCATAATCCCCGCACACAATTTGGGCATTACGAAACAAGAAATTTATATATTCACACCGTATGCCACTTTGTAAAGAGTCTCAATATACTATATTCTATTTATTGATTCGGTTACGCGAATAAAGTTAATTCTTTCGCGTCAAGCGTTTAATTGGGCATTTATGTATTGTTTTTTTGTCTTTGGTGATTTATATTGCATTGATAGTGTCGATTTTATAGCGTTCCACTCCACCGACTTTCACTGCTCAATTATAATGCTTAATGAATAACTAATTATAACATTTAACTCTTAATAAACAACTTTTGTTATCACACTACTTAACTTTTGTATTATTATATATGAATTGACTATCGAAATATCTAATAGATTTTTCAAATATTTAATTTTAAACTATCTAATAGATGCTAATATTTTTATGTTTTTATAATTTTCTTGTGTTATAGGTATATGTAAACTATCACGAAGATGTATTCGTAAAAGTTGTTTCTACAACATTATTTGATATTATACAGGGTGTCCCAGACCTACCGTATAACACGTTAATGGGAGATTCCTGAGTCGATTTTTCCTCAATGAAAATGTCCAGGCACCAATAATTTTTGAGTTAAAAATGATTGAAAATAAAAGCCTTTTTGTAAACTAAGCCTTGTAAAAATAAATTATTAACAAAACTACATTTTTTAGTTAATTTCAGGTAAAGTTTACTTTAATAGAATTTTAATTTAAGGCTTAGTTACAAAGATACATGATTTCAAAAATTAGGAACATTAAAAAAATGATGACCTTTCTCGACATTTTTGCTGAGGAAAAATCGTCTCCAAATCGCCTCAGGAATCTCCCATTAACGTGTTATACGGTAGGTCTGGGACACCATGTATGTCAGTGACAATCTCTGTCCATCTATCATATGAAACATCTAAATAGATGCAATTTTTAATTAATGTTTAATTTGATTCGATTTTGATGGATGCTGGATTGCCTAAGCGATACTTTGATAGATATTCCATCAGAAGTCAAAATATATATTTAAATAATGTTACGAGTGGAACACGAAAAAATCAACATCGTTCGAAGAAATTTTCCTTAATATACATATATATTTTTTTTTCTCTTAAATAATAACTTTATCACTTGGACAAATCTGTCACAATCACACACATACACAGTATATTTTACGTTACAGGAGTCGATCTCTTCTCCTCGCAGGAAGCATTGACACGAGTATCGACGTCGGTGTTCGATTCCTCATTCCCTGGATTATTCATGTCGATCACTGAGATCACCGGACTCGATGGACGCGATTTAGTTTCCTGACAAAAGTTCGAAATAGTGTCCTGTCGAATCTCTGAATCAAAATCTTTCTTTAAAGACATAGAATCGTTTGTACTACTGATTAGTTTCAGAGACGACGAGGATGACGAACTCGACCGAGTCTTCAGCTCGCCTTCGGCAGGACTGACTGCTTCCTGACCATCGTTCTCCTTGAACAGTTTCCTCAGATCGTTACCCAGCCTTGCATCTGTCGGACTCGCCATTGAATCCACGGTGATGGTCAGGGCCAAGGAATCCGGTGGTCTCCTGCCTCTGACAGTGTTAGCAAGTTCGCTGAAAGGAACCCCAACTTCACTTGTGGCCCATACGTCGAAATTGGGACTGCATGAACCACGAGATGTTGTTTGGGTAGTCTTCGGTTTCGTCGCGTCTTCCATCGAATGCCAACGATGCGGTCTTGGAACTGAGGTACCTTGCGCGATAGCGCTCAAACTATTCGCTGGGACGATTCGGTGAGGAAACCGGGGCGAGCCGCGTATCTTCTCTCGAGAAGATGACTGGCTCGTGCTTGCCTCTGAAATTTTTTTTACATCTTTGCAATATTCAAATTTAAAAACTCATCAAAATTTTCTTGCGCGTTTATGCACGTATAATGTGACGCATAAAATAGATTTTATAAATTCTTCTGAATTTCTTATAATACAAATTGCTTGTCTTTAAATTTAATATCTTTAATCCTTTTATTTATTATTTTTCACGAAAATGATAAAATTACTGTGATGCTGGTGAAGATTTATCAGTGATAAGATATTTCATGAAGATAAGATGTAAATTATGTAGGTCACTCACGTGGTGGTAAGCTGAAATTTACTCTAGGCTCGCTACTTTCCTTGCGACGTAGCCCTAGGCTCAATCTACGGTCTTCCTCGCTAGTAATACTAATTATTGGTCCTGAACCGCATCGTGCATGAGGCGAGTGAGTGCCTTGGGCATCTACCTGGCAAGTAGAAGCAGCTTTCGTGCCGGGAACTAAACCAGCGATGTAACCCATATGGACTCGAAGCGCCGATGCGACCCCTAATTAAGGTAATATAAGCAGGATAACGATATTTCAACTATACATATGTAAATAAATTTATATATAGATGTGTAGAGAATCGAACATAAATTCACATTTGCATTCATCAAAGAACTAAGTCTATACTGCTATTATGTGACATGTAATAGACTTTTCTCTTTATTTAATTAACAAAGTTTACTATTATAAATTATAATTTGAAAATCATTTATATTTGTTATTTTCATAAATATATTTTTTTATAAGTATAAGTTTATGAGATTACGCTTGAACGCGTAAAATGTAAATTCTTCAAAATACAATCGAAGCAATTTATCATAAAATGGCTTTTGCTCTAATTTTTCTTTTATTTAACATTTTTTCTCGTAGTTTTTCGTACGTGCTTTTATAAAATTTTTTCGTGAAAAAATTTCCTTGCCAGCGACGTTGTTATATACGTAGTTAAATTGTGTCTATCAAGCCGCCTCGAGCTCTATGAAGTGCTTTTATTCTTTTATTCTGCGACACTTGCTTACCGGTGAATGACGCGGTGGAGGTTTTTCTACTACTCGGTCTGCTGCCGAAGAGACTGAAGAGTCGTTGAAAAACACCTAGGCGATTCGGTCCCTCGGTCTCTCGACGGCGATGTAGCTTGTAAAGGTCGGCCAGGCTTTGTCTGGGATCGTCCGGTTCCAGATCCGGCTGACTGCTAAATGCTACGGTACCGCGACGTATGCCTAATTTCAACAAGGGCCAACTCGTACATGACTGGCGAAACCCCATTATATGCCGAGCAGTCATTATGATGGACACGCGTTATTGAGGCTTGGGTTCTACCTAGCCGTCGGGACGTCAATTTCGCAGAAAGCGCATGTGAATTTAGGCGACATTTATGCAGAAGCCAGTCATGAATTTGTAATAATGAATTCTGCAGCACTAGAAATATTCCGCGTTATTCAGAGAAGCTTATCCATCTTAATATTATATAGAGAAAGGTTTATAAGAATGTTAACGAACCATTTTTTAAATTTTTATTTGTATTGATGTATTATTCACTTATTATTAATGCAATCATTAGGATTTTGGAATTTCGATTTTAATATCATTTACTACGATAGTTTCTTTTAATCGCAATTTAATTTGCAATCACTATTCTGATTCTCAAATATTTAATCTGATTATGACTGCAGCTTCAGTATGAAAATCGCCTACAGTAGAAGAGAGGAAGAAGGGAAAATCTCTCTAGCAGTAGAATAAAATATTATATGTTGCTATTTATATGGTATCCCTTTCCTCTTTACGTTTTTGGATCAATTTTGTGATCCGATTATACATATATATTTCATTTCATATATAATTATAACTTTTAATATGAAAATTATTTTCAAGAAGAAGGAAGAAGGGAAACATATATCTCTCGCAGTAGAGTAAAACATTATGTACATGTAACTATTTATAAGAGCATTCTTTTTTTCGCGTGCGTTTTTGGTTTTTGATAAATTTTGAAAAATATTCTTCGGTATTGCAATATATATTTCTGTTTGAAATTTTTAAAGATTTAGAAAATTATTAATCAATCAAAAATACATTTAAAATTAATAAAAATTCACTCAGATTTAATTAGCAACTATTGCTCATTAATTAAGTAACAGACATGCTTTGACATATTTGTGTAGAATGTCGGTGATTCGAAAGATCGATAATTAATAGAGAATTATCTGAGAGTTTCAATACATGAACAGGATGTGATGAGTACATTTTATACCATCTATGCAAGTATATAATTAATATAATGCATGAACATGTATAATCTCTGTCTTTTAGAAAAATATCTTTTGATGATAGCTTTTTGATAAGTTACAATTTAATATGTTCCGAATTAAAAATTATATTTTTCAGAATGTTTCTCAGAATTTCTATAACATATAAGAGAAAATTATCTCAGAACTAAAGCTTATAAATTGCACCTTAGAATCCAGTAAATTGACACTAGAACCGTCTTTGAAATTAGATCGTTAAATTTTCTAATATATATAAGAGGAAAGCTTTTAAAGACGGCTTCGAAATTCTTCGAAGCATCTACGATTCACCTATTTTCCGAGGCAGTGGTAATGCTAGTGGTAATGGGACAACACTCTGTGTATGCATGCATATATAGAAGGCGCGTAGCCTTTGACTTCATTCGATCCGCTGATGGTAGACATTCAGAAATATTGGGGTGGAACGTGCAGTCGGTGTGCATACTCGTACGCGATTCGCATGTACTCGTATGCCGAATTGTCCGGACTTATGAAAGGAATTTTCGAGATTTTCGGAAGAGACGTGCGCGAATGCAACGCGAAACCCGAGAGAGGATCGATATATCACAAACGTATATCAAACTGCGCGTTCACGAGCTTTCTCTCGCTCGCTAATAATATCGGGTGATGTTTCAGCGATCACGGTCAAGTTGATCCGGATGATAATTAATATACATGTACGCAGAGCAGATGCGAGATCTATCTCATGATACACACGTCTTGTGCTCGCGTATATAATGTGTCATTGGTGAAGCACCGGAGCGTAAATATGCACGTGCATGTCACTCGAAAAGCGGATATTTCGCGAGCGAAATATGCGATATATTTGCACTGCAAACGATATAATCGGCGACCGATGAGTTTTCGAGGGAAGTTTCCTTTTGTCGCGCGCGAGAGATATACGCGACTATATAAGCGAATCAATTACAAAAGCGTATTCCGCGTGTATTCCGTCCACTGTGGCGAATATAAATGAATAATCGAGCGATTGCATTTTATCTCCGTAATCTGTAAAAAGATGTATTAAATTAAAATAAATGGAGAAGGATTTATTTCTGCGAGATTGAACACCTAGAACTCTCTCTCTCTCTATTCAATGCGGTTCCATTGGTCAAATCTAAAGTTAAATACTAAAACTTTGTTATATAAAGAGGATTGGGTGTCCATCGCTACTTTGTTTCGTTAAGGCTCTTCTTCTGCACTAACAATAAGTACAAAGAAGCTTTATAAATATATACATATACATTTTTTGTATAGAATTTTTACAGTGAATAATTAACACGCTATAATTAAAGTTTCTGCGAGAAACTTAAACTCTCAAATGCTAAGTTTGCGCATGCATGTGTTTTTTCCGAAGAATAATTGCTTTGTTTCGTAAATCTAATTTATGAAACTCGCAAATCATCTCAATGCGTAGAAGAAACTTTGAATAAGGTTAAATGGGAGAGATATTTTTTTCTCTTCTAAACTAACATCTTCTATAATTCAAGCTTTTTTCCCACTTTTCAAGTCAAGCAAACAAACGTGAGTGGTTTCTCAGGCAATCACGTGCAATAAAGGGATTTCTGTCACCTTTCTCGGACATCTGACCGAAAAACGACGAAGCGAGAAAAGTATTAATATTTAATCTCTTCCCTCTCTCCTGCCTGTATAATATTGGATTCGTCGTACAAGTTTTGGCGAGTCTATTCCTATCTTATTGTGGTGTATCTTTTCTTAACAATCCATCAATCATACTTTTATCAGATATATATATTCCAAATACTTTTGTATTATGTTAGTTAATTTCAGTTTCGTGTCTTTAATAAATTAAGTAATGTATTTCGATAAAAAAAATTTAATCGTTTTTTCATAGAATTAATACGGACATTAGCTTTCAAATTTAGCTTAATAAAATTTAATTTCTTTTGCAGAATACGATACGAAATCTATACAATGGTCAAATCGATACTCTCATCTCACTTATCTTCTTTGTGCTGAATCAAAGCGCGCGGATCTTTTGCCATCGTTAAATTCTGTTCGACTGTTGTATCTTGAGAAGAATTTGATTCAACAGACGAGAAAGGGTACGTTAAATGTCCAATGTAATTTTAAGATTTTAGATAGCAAAGATTGGAACAGCGTTCATCTTGCACGACGGATTTCTCTATATATAATAATCCGTCAATTTACGCTTACCGGATGAATCTGCCGAGGGCCAACTCGCTCGAGGAATAACCGGTGGTAGAACACTGAGCAATAACAGGGGTAAACCACCCCCGATACTTGGATTTCGTTGCGGAATCGAGGTGCTTGATGAAGCGCGCGACGGCTCCGTTGGCTCTTGAGCAAGTTGCTTCTCCAATCTCGCCAATTCTAATTCCAGCTGTGCCATTTCACGTCGATAAACTCGGTTTTGCACTTCAACGCGATACTGTAGTTCTCTGTTTTTAGAGAAACGCCGAATTCTAATTTACATATTTCGACAATTTTTTATGCAAGTATCAATTCTTGTACTTTTACAAAAAAATAATGACTTTCATTAAGTAATATTTAATATAATACATATTTAGAAATTTTTCAAGTGAAAATATCTCAAATATATATATGACAGACACATAAATTTTAAAATAGCAAAAATGGAAAAGTTTCGTAAACGAGTCTTTCAAAAGAAAAATAATACAGTTATATTAAATAAGTTCAACAGTTGTTCTTAACTTTGCAAATCGTAAAAACTGTCGTTTGCGACTCAAAGTAATTTTTCTCTCGATATTTCGGAGGAATGCGTGGGAATCTAGCGCGTAGACGCTGGATAAAAGGATATTGTCTCTTGAGATGATCCACCCAATCGATTATCCTCCGTTAAAAGGAGAACTTTTTATCGCTACGTCGAACGCGATTCTGTTGGCTTTTTGTCGTTCTTTTTCGTGTGACTTGATCATTTTAAGTTGATATTTTCTCTATTTCTTTTTTTACATCAAGAATTCTTTGGTCACTCACCTTCTGTCATCGGTGACAAATCTGCGCGTATTGCATTCAATCTTGAGACCGAAACTCTGCACGACCGGGTCGGCTCTCTCCCCCGCTAGAATATTCGCTAATTGGGGTAGAAAAAGCAGCGCCAGGGTCGCCGTCGTCGAAGCCAGGATCAGAGCAGTGATCGTGACGAAGGCCAGGGTCGCGCGATCAGGCATCAAGTTGGCTAGCACTACGACGATACCCGACGTGATTACTACGAAGTACACGCTCATACCGATGTATTGCGAGTCGTTTAGAGCTGGAATCTTTACGTGCCTGAAAAACCATCAGCGATTCATATAATCCTTCGTGTGAATTGGCAGTATTCAAGGAAACCGGTACCGAAACTTAATTCTCCCCCAAGACGCATGGAAATGTATGACAGATCATTTCATTTAAGCCGAGCTTAAACAATCGACATTCCAGGAAAATAATAAACAAAGCAGGATTACAATCCTGCGGAGAATAATCCCGCGGAAATTACAGATATATGTAATATGAGAAATAATATCTGTCGCGTTTGCGAAACGACTCGTGAAATATGCAACAGATTATCTCTATTAGACTATTACTGAGGGAGCTTGCTTGCCAACTTCGAAACCTCTTTATCTCCGAACTCACCTCGTTTCCCAGGCCATATAGACCCCGACTACGAGCAATAAACCTTTGTAAACGTAGAGAGCGCTTAACCAGCCGTTCGTATGCTGCGAGCGGCACACCTCCACCTGTGTAAGGGCAAATAAAGACGCGAATTAATTACGATTACGGCTCGTTAATCGTTCATTATAATTGCGCAATCGTGACGTTCAACTGTGGCCGTTCACCGTGACTCGTTCGAGATGACGAGACAAGCCGGAACGAGTCTGTCTCCGTTTCGCATCGGTTACCTGAGGTTGATAGACGACCCCCCGGTCCTGCGGGCTGATCTCCAGGGTCAGATTTTGCAAGTGACGTTGCATCGGGTCTAGAATCACCCATAATGTTACCACGACAACGTCAATCACCAGAAGCATGCAGATCAAGAATATCAGCTGAGTATCTTGGAGCAGCTGAAAAATCAGATAAATAAGAAGAGTTCTCTTTGATACAAATTTAGGTTTTATGTTTAATCATCAGATGTGAGAAGATAATATTGTCAATGTCGGCCAACCTTGTTTTTGACGACTCCGCTCCGGCTTCTGGTGAAGATCCTGTGTACTCGATATGTCTTTGTGAACATCGAGCCAAAAGCCAGAGAGAAGCCAGCTGATAACAGGTACACTCTCGCCTACAAATAAAAAATGCGCACGATGTGCTTATGTTAATTTCTATTTAAAAAAAAATATTCCATAATATAATTTATATTTTAAAAAATTGTGCCTTTTATTATAAAATTTCTTTTCTAGTAATTGATAAATCGATAAAATATTGATGTGTATATTAATAGAGATTATTAGCATGCATATTATGTAAATGAAACCAACACCTATATTATTGATCGCATCATCGGGGACGTTAATATTCCCCATAATGAATGTTAATCACCTTGCACACCGTAGGATAATAACCATCGCTGTCGGATAATGTGGCGTCGTCCAGTCCCAAAAGTATAACAGCACCATAGACCAGGCCACAACCGACAGCCGCCATATTATTCAGCCTCGGGCTTGAAAGTTTTATGCTTCTGCCAATATCCAGGAATAATGAATTTGAATGATATATCGTGATGATTTACATATAAATTTATTGATGTATAGCAAACGTCATGAGGGAGCTGTCTTCATTTATTTTGATTCGTAAAAAAGATTGCCACGATATATTTATTTATGAGTTTTTTTATTACTAAAATAATTTATATATTTAAACAAGATTAATCACGTAGATACTATATTTAAAGCAGATAGTTTATTAATAGACATTACTTACACGCTTGCACTTTTTTATCTGATTTTGTCAATAATATAAGACAATTGTGCGTGCATGCACTGCTTATATTGAACAATAAGCTTACTTGTGTTTACGAAAGTGAAGATTGAAGGCCAGGAAAGCAAGAGCTAAAGTAACACCAACACTGGCGATGCAGGTAATGGCGAGGAACGCAGCAGGTGCCACTGTCACCATTCGTAATCTGCATGCAATAATATACACGATCACTCGGGTGGCTCTCATGGGTTTGATGAATTATCGACCGGTGTTATCGAATGGCGTATAAATTAATTTAACACCTTGTTTAAACGATGTTATAATTGCTACCACTATTACTATACATAACTCGGTACGAGCTGTGATTATATCGAAATATTGAAAACGTACGCGTGTTGAAAGGATTAAATATTTGACGGCGATAATTTTACAATAGCCGCGTGTTCATCTATTTATATAATATTGATTATTTCATTAATTTTACTTGTGGTCAAATTAATCTTCATTTATATATTATTAAATCTTGATTTGTATTGATAAAATTAGACATAAAATATTTTAATTTTTTTTGTAGTACATTACATGTCTTTAGCCACTTAAATATGCTTATTCAGGAAGATATATGCAAATTAGAAGGTTTGACTTATCTAATAATAATTGAATGATTCAATCAGTCTGATAATGCAATTCAATGGAGTCTGATAATATTGATAATACATACCGGAAGACCCTACGAGCCGCTGGTACTTGTCCTCCGGGCCATCTTGTAGCCTTACATCCTGGACAGTTCATTATCAGTTTCCCATCTTCGGGAGTGTAGATAGCTATTCTGCTAATAATGTGTCCTGTAATCGAAAAACTTTTCGATCAATTATCCGAAGCGCGTCGCGTAAAGTGCGATAAAAGTGCGCTATTAAATTGCAATTTCGTTCCAACAAATACGTTTTTAATTTTCCAGTAAATCTTAAAGGAATTAATAACTATTATTTAAGATTAATCAATAACATGAATTTTGGAGTTTAATATACACTTTCATTATTACACTTTCAATTTACGTTCATTACGCAGTTTCTGGAATGTGAAAAAATCACAATTATTTCAGAAATTGAAAGTTTATAAAATTCTATAACGATGCAGCGAGATAGATTTTTCATTGGACTAAAAAGGCTATCGATTTTTATTTTAAACTAAATTTTTTTATTCGCTCTGTTCTATTTCGATTTCTTCTTTCTTTCTTTCTTTGTGAATGCCTGATAAAACTGCTCCATTCGTGCGTCGGAAAATAAGTAGCGAAGAGAGATCGAGATGTCCAAAGGGACGTTTATTCAAGTTGGGAGTGTAATTTCCTCCCTCTTGCCACTTCCGATTGTTTGCACGTCTACCACTTTCTTCTCTTCATTCGAAGGCAATTTTGAAGCAGAAATTAATTACTCTACTAATGTCCGAAACTGATTATGTGCGTGCAAATAGAAAGAAATATTAATGTTTGACAGTTGGACAGTTTGCGAATAAAAATAACAACAGCACCAAACAATTCACAATTATATCTGATCAAGTTTTTATATAAGTATTATTCAATATTAATTCTAGCAAAATAGACGTGACTTTCGCCAAATGTCGATGATTATCTTCTTATTGGAGACAGAATTATATTGCACATCGAAAGGGCAACGTTAATCAAATCGAGGCTTTAATTGCTTTCACCTCATCCTTCGGTATCTTTAGAAAATCCATTACTCGCCTCTTTTTCTCCCGTACTCATCCGGCGATTTATCGGCCAAAGTCGATAAGCTCGGATATTCTCCAGGTAAAAGGTGGATTGGTTCCGTGAGAACCTTGTCAGCATTGCTATCATCGCACCTGAGGCCGAAATTTCAATAAAAAACTTATTCAAATAGCGAATTAAATGCCATTTGATTGCATCTGATCGATTTTGAACAATTATTTCAAATCGAAGCAATTATTTTATATCAAAGCGTATAACAATTTAATTATAATTATTTATTATGATAGTTATACAAAATTATTTTCTTACTTTTTACATTAGTAGAACATAAATTACACACATGTCAATATTATCCGATTTTACATAACAATGAATTCGATTCGATTTTTAGAAAGGATTTTCTTATATTTTTAAACACATTCTTCTATTTTTTTAGACAGTTTTTATGATTAGCATTAATAATTAATTTTCTCATAATTTTATGGTCGCCCTTTAGACAGAATAACATTACGTTATATATGTCACGTGTTTTCTCAATATTTTTTATTATCGAACAAAAGATTATTTTATTAATATTTTTAAATATATTAATTATTTTATTTTACTTATAATAAAAATATATGTAAGTAAACGTATGATATGATTCCTTTTGTAGTTTAATGCAATATTAGTCAAATGTATAATAATATGTCGATCCCATTAATACATATCTTTTTCGTATGATAGAGATTTGATAATCTGTTACAATTTGACGATAGAGATGCTGTTTCGCTCATTCGTATTCGTAGCATTATGCACATTGATTCAATGACGATGCCCAAATTGCTTTGAATCGATAAGCTAATGCATTATTCTAGGAAATAATGCTAATTTGATTGTAGATTGTAAGTGAATGAAAAAATTAAAGCTAAGTTTCCTGGAGCTCTCCCAGTCATTGGAGATATTGATATATCTCTAATGAATCTTTAAGCAGACTTTTCTTTTATGTTTTCTCGGCTCTGAAACAAAGGATAGCAATTTGGAATCTGTGTCAAGTTCTTACAAATATAATCGATAATTGTATTTTTTCAGTGATACATTTCAAAATTCTTTCTTCCTTTAAAAAAGGCATGTTAACTGAGTGAATTTAATTTTAATTGAAATATTGAGGCCTCTTTTCAGCAATGCTGGTTGATTGTCTCAAAATTTGCTTCGTGGTTTGAATCACAACCAAGTCGTTTGACAGTTTTACATAATAGAAATATATTTATATACAGCTATTTATTTAAAGAGCGAATGAAAATAAGTGTTTAGTTAAAACTCTCTTTATAATTATACATATATCATACCTCTTATTAAACTTCCTAAAATAATTTATTGATATATATTACACGTAATTAAAATAATATTTGAAATATAAGATGTACAGCATTGTGTTGCTATAAGAATATTTAAATTAGAAAATACTATTCGTTATTTTATAATCCGAATTAAATTTTCAAAATTATTTATACATTATAAAGTAGAAAAATTATTGAATTTATCTATTTAAAAATATAAAATAAAAAAAATTTTGAGAGAAAATTTTATATTTAAAATATATTGTTATAATATTTTGAAAAAATAGAGGAGAGAGAGAGGCATCTATACAGTTTTCTTCGACTAATTATCTACGTAATGTAATATTTCTACCATTCTCACTCGCAACATTTCATTCTTATTTGTTCGAGACACCGTGTAGACGTCGAGAAAGAAAATATTCGTTCTCAGAATAGCAGATGAAGAGCATTGATGTCGTTCGAATTTTTCGATACTCATTAGAGTCGTTGCTCAAATGCTGCGTTATTAAAAATTCAAATTTAATCTATATTTACAGAATAAATTATATATCACAAATTCGAGAGAAATATTGAAAAAAGGCAAATTAAAGAAGTTTTGAATTCGATTCTATTTCATTTTTCTGCAATCGTGATTGTCTTGCAATCGCAAACTAAACCTTTATTGTAAAATATCGTATTTGAATACAATATGGTATAATAACTTTTGAATAAATATAATTAAGCTGAATATATATTATGTAAAAAATATTTGTAATTATTTAAATGCTCAAATGCAGAGCACTAAATTTTTTTATTTTTTGAAAGGGAATTACTGTAGTAACTTCTCTTTTTTTCAATTAACTAATATTAAGAAAAATAAAATTTACTTGAGCAAATATAATACTAATATTAGGAAAAATAATACTGATATTAGGAAGAATATATTTTTGGTAAGTTTTAAAGTATTAAAAGTTAATATAAAATTAAGAAATGGCGCGTGCATAGCGCACTTTCGTTGTTCTAGTATTATATAATTAATATATAAAATCTATTGTGGGGATATTATTCATATATCAGAAATGCGCTTAACAATATCATTTTTATATTGTACAAACACGAGTAACACTTTAGTTTATAAAATTTCAATGTAAAAAAATATAATTAATAGTAAAGTTACATTTACAATTTAAAAACATAAAAATAAATAAATTTCGTATAGAGGTAAAAGATTCGCTTGAATAAGTAAAGCTGCTAGATCCTATCAATTAAAGAACGCGGTCTATACTCAAAGTATAAACCTGTTACGCAGATTTAAAGTTTCAGTAAAGTACTTATCGTATAACAAACGCGCGAGCCAAGTGCTTTTGCCAATTTGTTGTTATTCTCATTATACAAAGTATTTTAGATTTAAAGGATCAGTCTGAAACAGTTTGTATACGTTCATCAACAATTTTCTCGTAGTACCAAGAGCAGTTATAGCTATCTCGCGTCAACTTTAATTCCAAGAGCAACAAAGAATAGTCATATTAGATTTATTTTTCTTGTTGGCAAACGAGCGAATGCTTGCAATTTATGCCACCTATATCACCTTTTGTTTCTCTTCATGCCGCGTTTATGTGAATTTCTTTCACGTGCAGCTCAAAGCGTTTAAGCCATTTTTTACACAGCCTATATATTTTACGGAATTTCAAATTTACGATAAAAAAATTGATTTAAAATGATGTAAAAAAATATATCTATAGAATCAAATCCCGTACGTTGTAACTAGAATTTAAGAATAAATTTTCTCGCCAATTTTTTCGCAGGTCTCTCACGCACTTTGGATCGCGTAAAGCGAGCTTACACCAACGTCTAACAATTTGCTCGTCTTTCATTGCGTCGCGTGAGCTTGCACATCGATCTCTCGCGAGCTCTCGCGTGCGGCGCGATGGTGATTATCATTTGGTAGCGAGGGAAAAGAATTAGCGCGCGTGATTACACGGCCGTATAATAAATTGTCGGCCAACCCTACCGGACACATTGTATTCCCACCCTGGTCATTTGAACGGCGTAAACGGCGGATAAAGGGATCTGTGTCGTGGTTTTACAGGTGGTTTTATTTTACGCGCTTTTTTTTCCTCTACGTCCATCATATATTCCAACATCGGGCAACAATTTCTCCGCGGCGAGAAACCGCGTGTAATATTTCACGATAAATCCTCGACAACACGGCACGCGGTGACTGCTCTTGCGAGTTTCATCCCGCGTGAAAATTGCGAACGAATTTTAAAATGCACACTCGAGTCTCGTCGCGGCGGAGCCAATAAAGATGGGTGTTGCAATCTCATGCATTAAAATTATATGCATTATATACATATTGGAATAACAATATACAATCTCTTTCGAAAGAAATTTGGCGACACAACAAAGTACAGGAGCGAAATAGATCGCCGTGGTAGTCGATAATGATTAATGAGAAAGCAACGGAAGTAACGAAATGAAATAATGATACGATAAATGTTACTGACGTAAACGCGATTGCCTGTATATTGTTCTAGATATTCGAAATAAGCGACAATTCTATTGGGTCGATTCCATTCGGTAGATATATGTAATCAGATGAACTATATACAATCATCTCGCTGTCATAAATAAAACAGAGTTCAATCGTGTATACGCTGCAGAGTTGCCTGCTTGCACTCGTTTATATAAGATTTTCGATACGATCGCGAATACACATAACTTGGTCTATAATTTTTCTCTCTCTTTTTCAAAGATACCAAATCGAATCGATAATCTGTGACGGCCCGTCGTATAAGGAACCTCTTCCTATATCGAATCA